AGGTTGGATCTCTCAGTGGCAGTGAGTGGGGTGGGGTGGTTGCAGATCAATAATCAGCACCCTGTGGTTGACGTAAATCAAGGCTTGAATCTCTGACAGGCTACAGGAGCCAGGAAGAGGCACAGAAGTACCTCGCCTAACGTTTTTCCTCTCTCTCATTTCTGCATTACACTGACCTAAATAGGAATCTCTGGTTAGATTTGACTTATTTCTGGCGGAAGGGAGATCGTGGCAAGGCTGGAGAAATGAGCCTCTCGGAGCGGGTGGCAGTGGCTTTTTCCCCCCAGATACTGTGCAGGCAAAGGAGCAAGCAATGGGTGGAGAATTAACAGGGGCTGGAGCGGGGCCACGGGGCAGCCTGGCTCACGTGGAGAGCTGGAGTGGCAACTGAGGACAACGGGTGTATTAAAGAAAGGAAGAAGGCTGAGTGACAGCAAGGAAGGGAGCCAGTCCAGAGGTGCCCATTTGGTTGGTTATTAAAACCCAATGGAACCGCTGCAGTGTATATTTATTAACAATTTGATCTCTCCGCTTCAGTTTTTGCCACTTCTAGTCTTCCTTTCTCCCTTCGTTGAGAAATAGTAAGTTACTCAAGGCCAGCACCACCTCCTGAAAGTGCCTGACACCAAAAGTCACCCGAGTGTGCAACTTCAGAGAGCTCAGCCTAGGAGAGGGTGCAGCCGAGGGCCAGTTTGCCGAATCTGCCTTTTCTTCCTCACAGAAGAGAAGCCTGCGGAGTGCTCTGCCCACACATTGGGAATCGGTTCTGTGCGAAGAGGTAGCGTGTGACAAATTAGATGTTTGTAACTAAGCTGTATAGCTTCCTTGGACAGAGCAGAGGAAATTATTATTATTTATTCTTGTTATACTGAAATTGCGAGCTAGCAGCACTACTCCTTTGTAACCTGGGTCTTTCCCAGAAAGACAGCCTGTTGGTTTGGAAAGGATAGTAGTGCTGGGGTCGTGGCACTCTCACTTCTAAAAGCAAACCTGAGATAATGGAGAACTCATAATCAGATATTCCCTGAATGGGAGGGCCTGCCTTTGTTTCCTAGGTATTCCCAAACAGAAATTAGCTTGTGCATGCTAATGCATTTTAATGAATTTTAATGAATTTTGACAAGGTCGCAAGAGCCCCGTTGTTGCCTGCCTGCTTCGTCCTTACTTGCAGATATGCATGACGCTTTCCCATACTTAGCTATGGACAGCCTACAGCCAGCTTAAGAGTGTGTGTGTGTGTGTGTGTTACATGTTTCTAAAATATTTCTATTCACTGCTCAGGTATTCAGTTTGAAACAGAGCTGCCCAATATACTAATCATCAGAGAAAGGGGAAGAACATATTTTGGTGCTCTTCTCGTTTCTGTTGATTTTTACAGATAGCATAAGCTCTCTCACAGAAGAGGAGAAAGAGTTAGAATAAATCAACTCCTTCCTGGGGAATCCATGGCCTGATGAAGGAAATGGGCAGTAAAAATTTTTTTAGTAAGGGAAGAGTCTAGAAAAGGATAGATAGGCTTTAAAGAGATGGTCCTGAGATGTCTGAGTACTGGATAAACGATGTGCAACAAGCAGCTTCTTGAATTAGTTAGGTCAGGAGCTCCTGGTCCTAGAAGTTGTAGTGCCTTGGTGATGATCTCCTGTCACCATCGTTGTTTGCGTGTCCGAGCCAGCCAGTGTCCCCCTAATATGACATTACTGTCCCCTGCCCTGGTCAAGGCTCCCACAGTGACCCGTGCATGGAGAGCAGTCGCTGGGAGCTGGGGGAGCAATGCTGGCTCCTCACAGACGGCACCAGCACGTAGCGTGCTGGATGGGAGTAACAACCACCTGTATTTCAGTGGGCAATACTGAAACAAACCTCGCAGCTAGCCCGTCCAGCCCAAGAAGGGATTTCTGTATGTAGCTGATACTTCATACTTAATACCTGGTGAAATACTGTCATCTATTTTTTTCATTTGTGATGTGCTTGAAGCAGAGGGCTGATGATACCCAGGCGTCCCTTCTAACCAAAATTACTCTGTCATTTGTTTAGTTGCTTTAAGGACGGTATCTTTCTGTCAAATTTGGGGCTGTAGTCAAATCTATCTTAAGCAAAAGCCATGCTACTAAATTGTCTGGAGTTATACGTGCCTGCATTGGGGGAAATTGGTCTTCCAGATGTTATGGTCCTTGTGCAAATACTCACCTGGGAAACAGGAGTCTTGCTTTTCAAGAGAACATGACACTCAGCTAATTTAACTGCCTCTCTTACAGCCAGGCTTCTCACAAGGGCTAAGCAACAGCATCCTATTTAAAAATCTTGTCCCAGTTTTGGAATGCCCATGCCATCTGAAAGCTATGGCCTTATTTTATCTGTTTATATCTCATATTATTCTTGGGGAAATGCAGTTTTGTTTTCCCATCACATTTATTCCCCAGTGCAACAGTTAAATACTTTGCAAAATAGTTTTTTAGAAAGCCCAAATTTTTCCCCAATAACTCAGAGCATAGGAATGTCCTATGGCAAAAGAAGCACTGGCAAGGACATGCATGCCAGCATGTCAGCTGGCCAAGTGTGGGAGATCCCCCACCGCTTCCTGCCTGAAGGTTCCCAGGGTGCGACTTGGGAACACACTCTGTTTATTTTGGATGTGTGAAGCCCCTGTAAAGATTCTCTATACATGTCTGGGTTTAAATATATGTAGTTATGCTCTACCAACATGTTTCAGCCTACACAGGGCAACATCTGTTGAAACATGCAACTCTGGCTTAGTTTTAGCCAAGAACATGAAGGAAAACAATTTCATCCATCATTAGACCAACACTTGGGAGATTTAGGCCTTGTTCCATTTACTAAAGCTAAGCAAATTTTGGCCTCATCAGCCCAGAGGAATAATCAAATTGCTGATGCTTCAGCTGTCTCCTGGCTGTGCTGTCAAGGCAGTCTCTTGCAGAGCAACGATTCAAACCAGGCGTAGCACTGCTGACCGAAGAGCCTGTCAGGTAACCAGTGAATGGTGCACTGGAAGCAACTCTCCCCGTTCAGCGTCAGTTCTCGCTTGCCGGTGGTTTTTGGGTGCAACCCATGTTAAAGCAATGCAACTGGAGGTCACAGGAGAGAAGCACTGATTGCTCTAGTAAGGGACAACTCTTAGAGGGTAAGGGGAAAACATCCATGTGAAAAGGTCTCTTTGCCACAATGCCGTTCAAAACTAGTTTGTCTGTTGATGGAGGGTAGGTGAACTCCTCCTAAAAGTTGATCAGCAACTCTCCATCGTATGCAGACCTGCTTTTCCATCTGCCATGGTGATCATGTACAATTGACTTGTATCCTCTCACTCTCCAAATGTCTGTGTAAACTGGATACTAGCATGGCAATGTCCAATACTAATCCTAAACTCCATCTATAGCCTAAGCAACTGTAGGCACAAATCTGCAATCTTCTCTCTGCCCACCAATTTAGAAACAAGTGATGAGAGAGCACTTGAATGAGCCACCGGGTGGCTCTCCCATGTTCCCAGGTCAGAATGATGCACGTCTGCGGTCAATTGCCTGAAGACAGGCTGAATTTAGGGGTGGATATTGGCCGTTTGCACAGTGACCTTCATGTTGACATTGCAGAAGGAGCCACACGAGATGTGCCCACCTTGTGCCCTGCAGCCTCTGCATGCGCTATTGTGACAGTCCTGCCACACTGTTGTCCGAGAGCACCGAAGTTGGTGGCCGTTGCATAGTGACTCTTAGGCAAAACTGTGATGTGCTTAATAATTAGTGTAAAATTTAGAAGTTAATCATACCCACCTCAGCCCTAGAGTGGATCTCGTTACGCTGGGGTTAGGTGGTGGGCCTTTCTGGTGATGTGAGCTGTTATTAGATGTGAATTTTTTTCCTGGTACCAGATGACTGGCAGCACTTGCAATTGTAGACCAGAGCTGGGAGAGGCTTTACTGTGAGCCAGCTTAGATGAACAGTGACTTTCTATGGTTTTCCCATTGCTGATGAGATACTTTTCTAAATGCTGCCTCCCTCTATTGATAAACAAGGACATAACGTGTATTTCCCTTAACTTGAAGCAGCAGTGTTAATGTCTGATTAATCCTATGACATATAGGTCATGCTTGTTAAAATTGAAAGCCACAAATGATTATATTTGGAAGAGATTGCCATATCACGCTGAATTAGTATTAGAAGCATTGTTTTCACTTTCACTTTCTTTGTATGGAGAAGGCAGGTTTTTTTCCCTAAGATTTATGGATTTACAACTCTACCATTTCTTGTAGATCAAGAAATGTATATAATTGTATTTTGAAAACACTTCCATTTTATGAATGAGTTGCAATCCTTCAAAAGAACAAAGCCCATACTGCCTTAGACTTAGAAGAATAAACAAAACTTAAGAGGTTTAACTGTTATTTACTGTTTCTGAAATCTGAAACATCTGTGATTAGGAAGTTTGAAAGTCTGTTTAGATAGATAGTTGGGAATTTGTTCTGGTTTGGTTTGTTTAGAAAGTATGCCGGTTATTTCAGATGTTCTGCCTATAAAGAATGTAAAACAATTTAGTTGTCTCAGGTCTGACTTTAATCCGAGTCACTGGCAGAAGGTCACTAAATTCAGTCCAGGGTTTCAGTCAGATCTGCCATTTAGACCTAAAAAATATTACCATTAAAAATGCTGGCATGTTTGTTATGCAGGGAGTATAATGTCTTAATTGAAATGGTACCAGAAACTATTTTAAAAACTTCTATTACAGTTCACATGACAGACAGTATTTTGTAGATTTAACAGCTCCTTTAAGGTCAACATGTGAGATTTAGCCTTTGTCTGACTATAACTCTTTGGATTTCAGTGAAGTTGCACCCACTTAAATCCTGATTGAATTTTTCTCACATGATTGGTTTTTTAATTGTATGATTTAATTTTCTTTATCTCCAACGCAGTGTTACAGTATGGAGCTTCAGAGCATGTTAGAATAAGGTCAATAACGGATCCTTTCTTCTTCCTTTTTTATTTTCACAGTTACAGGGATCCATTAAAAGAAAACTGGAAGATGATAGCTCTCCTGCCTCCAGTGGCGTGCCTGATGTCATTTTCCCAAACGACAGTAAAAGACTTTGTCTTGATGACGTAAACCTTGCCATGGGCCAAGGTGCCAATCCCAACGTGGCGTGTCCAGAAATGCAAAGTTCTCCATTCTCCACCACTCACAGTGCTTCTTCCCTGGGAGTCGCAGGTCATTCTGTGCTCCTGGAAAACAATCACATGAATGGCGGTGGCATTGCTTCCCCGTTTTCAGTGCCACCCAACACGGAAATAAATCAGAAAGGGTCAATAGGAGGGCAAAACAATAACATCGTCCACTATGATGAGAAAGGAAACAGCTTACAGTCAGTGGACCAAGAGCTGCAAGATCTATTGGAAGAGCTGACGAAAATGCCTGATCCTTCTCCCAATGACCTGGATCTGGAGAAGATTTTGTGCAGCAAGGCTGAAGAGCCGGTTGGGCTGAATCATTCTCAACCAAGCATAAGTACCACTCCAAAGTCCTCCCCACAGACTTCCCACTTGGAGAACCATATTGCTAACAAAGACTTTTCTCCGGGCTGCAATCCAACCAGTGGAGGATCTCCTCAGATGAGACCATCATCCGCTGGAACTAACTTCCAAGTTCCTCCCTCAAACAAACCTGCTGCATCGCCCATCTCTGCAGCAGCTCAGAGCAAGAACCAGCCACCGATGCTTCCGGTACCCTTACCCAACATACCTGGCTCCAACTGGCACGCTCAGCAGCTAAAGCAGCTGGCAGCTAGCAAGCAGGTGTCTACTACTAAGCAACAAGTACAGGCTCCCAGCTGGCCGACTATGTCTCCTCCTGGTCTCTCTCCACCTTACAGGGCAGGATCATCCCCACACCATCAACCTTTCAGTCCTCAAAATGTTATGGTGTCTGGCATGCCTGCTAATAATTTACCAGGAAACAACATTCAGAGTCCTCAAAACTCCCTGCTTTCAAGCATGACTTCCAGCAGTACGCCATCCAACGGCCCCTCTCCTCCTTATGGGTCTGAGAAGCTCTCCAGTCCAGCTCTGAACCAGCAGCCCTTCAGCCCACAGAGCTCTATGCTGCCCACCCTGACAGCAGCCAGCTTACCAGCCAACAACATTAAAAGTCCACAGAACAACTTGGTTGCCAGCATGGCCTCCACAAATACTGGACCTTCTCCACCGTACAGGCCAGAAAAGCTGTCAAGCCCAGCTCTGCATCAGCAGCCCTTCAGTCCTCAAGGTACATTAATCTCTAACATCACTCCCACCAGCAACCCCACAAGTATGCAGAGCTCGCTTTTTAAATCAATGACTACAAACCAGTCCAAAAATATGAACATAATTATGCAACAGCCATCCAGTAGCTTACAGCCAGGTCTGGTGAATGAAAGCCCTGTTAGCCAAGACCAGTTTTCTTTCAATAACACCAAACCACTGTCTCACTTTGCCTCAGAGTCAGCTACTCAAAAGATGTCACCTCTGACAGCAGGACAAGGGCAGCAGTCTCTCATTCACTATCTCCAGCAGCAGCAGCAGCAGTCTCCGGCCACGCAGCAGTCCCAGCAGGCTAACAACAGCCAGTTTCTCCAGCAGCAGTTCCGACAGCTGATGCAGCCACATCGGATGCAGAGACACATGCAGCCTGCCACATTGCCATCTCAAAGCAGACAGGTGAGAACATCTCTTCTGTCTTCTAGCGTTTATGTGAAAATACTGAGTCATTTATTTCCCTATCTTTACTCTCCTTTGCGTTTCAAATGTGACATTGCTAAACTTCTGGGGTGTGCACAGTGTATATGTGGACAAGGCAATAACAATGTTCTGGTGTTATCAGAGCCACCTTATTTATTTCTTCAGTTGAAATGTACTGTAATTCCACTATGCATTGTCTCTTCCATCCCAGTGGAGAACTTTGTTCTATTAGGCAAAATACATTTCATACCACTAAAATAAATTATTTTTACATATATAGCTGGTATTGTTATTTAGCTTATATTGTAAGCTGTAGAGGTGTTCCTGTAACATGTTTCCCATCATCCTTTTAGTGGGAATATCTTTTTTTTTTCTTAGTGCCCTTCAACAAATTCATCTCTGTGTTATGCTTCTAGACTAGAAAAGATCAGGTGGGGTGAGAAGTGAAGTTAAAATATGACTCCTTCATGGACAGCAGGTCAAACAGTACAGCTCCCAAAGAGCAGAGAGGCAGACTTGAAATACCTGTTACTAACGTTTGCCAGAAGCAATGCCCTGCTTTGGCTGAGGGCCATTCTCCACCCTTTGTTGATCTGCGATACCATTCGAGCTGGTAAATGCAAAAATGCAGCTGGCAGGAGTAAGACACAGCCCTGATTTCTCTCCAGCAACCTTCTCCCTGAGACTCAAGGAGAAGTGCGGAGTATTAGCTGCGACTACCCCAGATAAGAGAGATTTACTGTGAACGGGGACTTCAGAGCAAGGAAGGGCTTGGGCAGTCAGTCTGAGAGCAGCCTGGGTGTGAGGAATAAATAGCTGTCTTTTTCTTAGGAAGAACAGCAAGAAGCATTGAACCTCACCACCAAAGCCCAAGTACCTTGTTAGGCTGAACCAACATTTTGGAAGCAGAATCCTTCCAGCTGCTTAGCTGTGCACACAGCTGCTCCATCAGCTCCTGGTGAAGGACTGAAACACTTCCCACCCAGCAAACCAGAGGCTGAAGCTCTGCTAGGATCTGCTTGAGAGCATGGTGCTTAGCTGGGGAATACACTCCAGAGTCTGGGTTTCCTTGTTCTTCCCTGCTAAGTGACTGGTTCTTACAGAGGTGGATTTCTTCAATGTAGGTGACTTGGTGTGACCTTCTCCTATGATAGCAATGAGAAGTAAGGGGATAGTTACTAAATGTCAGCTTGTTAGTGGTAAATCAGTGAGGTACATTTCCACTGTGGCACTTTACGATCAACTCACTCTTTTCCAAGTTGTGCACACTCAGTACTCCCTTGCTTTGATACAGCAGCTTAAAACAGACAGCTGGGAAGGACTGATGACTTGCTGAATTTGCTTATCCAAATACGTAACATGTAATGATACCGCGTGTATAGTTCACTTTAAAGGGTTATCAATATAAGGCCTCTAATTCAACAAAGGCCTGAAGCAATTATGTTGCTTGAAGCACATAAGGACCTTGTTTGTGTTCAGTGGGACCCAAATTAAACACAAAGTAGAGGGTCTTGCTGGCTTGGGATCTACGAGTATGGATGTGATTGAAAGTGAGTAAGTTGCTGCAACTTCATGAATCAGGTGTTTTACTCTGGAGGCAGGGTGGGTGAAGAATACATTCATGGTGTTTTACTGCATCTTGGATGATGGCTAGTAAGTTGTTAACTGCAGTAACATGATTACTTTTCATTGTATGTCCATAACCTTTGAGCATATTTTTTTTTCTGGTTCCACCACTGGGTATGTGGAATTGCCACATCCCTGTTAGATTCCTGAGGTTTCTTGTGCCCTAGTTTTCCCTGCTTTGCATTTTTGTCTTACATCTCTGAACCCCCTACATCACTGATTAGCCAAAAAAAAAAAAAGGAGAAAGTTCCTGCAGTGAGTCTCTTTAATTGGCCAAAATCCTCTCTTCCAGCAACTTTCCTAGTGCTCTGTCTGTGCTGCATTTTTAGCTGATTCTCACCGTCAGACAGAGAGTTATTATAATTTGGCGGCTATCAGTAAAGATCAAGGACAGTTAAGACAATGATTACAGGTGATGAGCATTTTACATTTTCAGACTAGTTAGGTAAGCCTATGGTGCCTCCCTCGTTTTACAGGTAAGACTTATTACAATAATTATACACCAGATGACAGTGCTTCAGTTTTACAGTCTGTTGAGCTGCCGAAGAATGGTGGATGTTCAGGAGTGGAACATTTTGTTAGATTTTGATAACTTTACTGCAAATCTCATAGAAGAAAATGGATCCTGAGTGCTGAATTAAAAGAACAATGACACGGAAAAAATATTCTAGGTAGGAAACCTTAAAATTCTGGGATACTTGCTACATTTCTTTGAATCTAGTATGTAGATCTGTTATTTGTCTGCAATAGATTTCTTATTTACATTGAGACGTTGATACTGACATCTGGGACCCAACCTGCTGTGTACCAATTTTACTCCTTTATAGCGACGTAGCTCCAGTGACTGTGGTTTTTATTTCCAGCAGTATACCTGGAGCTTTGCAGAATCTCGGTGCCAATTGTCTCCTGAGGCAGGTGATGAATAGGACTTTTCAGGCATAGAGCAGTTGTTTCATTAAACGACAAAATGTTAAAGATTCAGAAGACAAGGGAGACAACTTCTGCAACTTCAAAAATTAGTAACCTTCCAGTGGAAAATTGCCTTTTTTAGCCTCATTCACAGAAATTTGCTGAAAGAAAAATAACAGCATTCCTTGCAATGTTGTTTAGTGTTTAAAAGTCATCCCCTTACTCTGTGTGTGTATTTGTAAATGTGACTAAAATTTATAAAAAGAAGGCATAGTACTCTCTTCTTTTGAACAAGAGGTGCAGCTTTGTACAGAAGAAAAATGTGGATGGTGGCCAGTTGGAGGGAGAACAAGAAACCATGAAATCTGATCCTTGTAGCAGGCAGAGCAACATGGGGAAGAGAGCAGCGGCTGGGACATAGACCCAGAGGGAGCTTTTTGCCCTTGTTTTAATGTCTATTAAAGCAAAGACTCTGCATTCCAAAAGCTGGGTTACTACTGGCACCTCACAGCTTTAACACTTTTGTAGTGATATATCCCTTAAGCGTAATCAGTCTGCATCCCAGATCCTGTATTGCCTGGACAACTGGTAAATCTGATAAGGGCTCATTTTTTCCCATCTGACGCACGGTGTCTTTATTGTTGAGCATTGATGGATATTGATTGAGGCACTGACAGTTTGCATTCTGCAATATTGCAAAGCCTGGTGGTGCTAACATTGCTCTTGTGGATATGTGCAGGTTTTCATTTTACTCGTATAGGACTGATGCTTGCTAAGTGAAATTATACTCAAAGGTCTGGACTCATAAATCCACAAATAAAGATGGTAGTAAATGCCAGAGAGTCAAAGACGGTCTTCAAAACTATCACACACTGTTTCCTGGGCTTAAGCTTAGCCACTTGACTTTACAGGCTGTTTCTGGGCACGTGAAAAGCTGCATTTGCCCAGGCAGGTTGAATAGTTGGGCATCTCCCTGATTTTCACATCTAAATACAGTTTGTACTTGCAGATCTCCTATTCTGGCATGTCAGATATATTGGGCCCAATTCTGCCTTCAGCAAGGCTGATACAACATCACCACTTCCAGAAGAGCTTTGCTTTTACTCCTGCCAATATAAGAACAGACATGGGTCTTTGCGAATGGAAAGGGTTCCCCAGAAGGCAGGAAAATGAGCCGGTGATCTTTGCAGTTTAAATCAGGCTGGAATAAAAGAAACCCTTTGGGTGGCTGTTATTTTTCCAAGCCCAAGTTAGCCTGAGTTAAAATTTGAGACCCTCAGGGAGGAGGGCTGTATTGCCCACTGCTCTGTGTGTAAAATGTTGAAAACCAAAACATAACTTAAAAGGTTGTTTTGTTGGGGGGATGTAGCTAATAAATAGCTATTGTTTGGGTGGGACACACTGTCCATTTCTGAGCTTCACTTGCGCTGCAGGAACCAAATGTGCTATTCTTAGAGCTCTCCTTGCTGACATCCAGATAGTTGTATACTAGATTGTCAGTGAAGGGTATATTTGTTTCGGCTCCATTGCCAAAAATGATGGTAGAGGAAAAATGATAGGAGAAGAGCCAGAGAGAAAAATATTATTATTTGCAGTAAAAATGGCTATATTTTACTATGTGTGGACTGCATATGAGATAGTGAAGAACATGCTGAAGACTAAAAAAACCTTTGAAAAGGGCTTGACAGTGTTTCTTTAACTGTGGTAAAAACAGCAATACAGTATCTGAGTTGGCAGAGTAAATTATAGGTTGCAGAGAAACACCAAAACCCCTGAGCTAGATTAAATATACTAGGGGGAAAAAATTAAACAAAAAATCTTGTTTCTGAGCATGAGTTCTCTAAATATAGAAACAAAACTGAAGAAGAAATGCACTGTTATAAAGAACAAACTGACCCAGAGCTTAGATGTCAAAGGTTAAATAAATATAATGGAATACAAAATACAGCTTTTATTAATATAAACAGAAATGGTAATACCACGGACTGATTCCTGGGTGTCCTATGTTATGTGAAGTTATTTCTGCCTATGAAAAGTCAGCACACCATGACTGTTAGGTGAGACTGTTCTGATTCAGCAGTACTTCATGTTTATAAGCTCTGATGCACAGTGATAAAGAGTTTGGAAAAGCAGAGAACGCAGCTCACAGCATCTGAGTACATACAGTCCTCTTGTAAGTACAGGGAAAAATCCTGGTTTATTTGGGATTTCCGAGATGTCACAAGGAGACTTCCTAACACATAAAACAACTATGGTATCATGTATTATTAATAAGTCCAAAAGTACTGGCCAGATTTCATCTGCAGTTTCACACCCCCATCCCTTTTTAAGTGTCAAACTTCTCTTTAAAGCCACTTTGAATGAAGTTCCGCTGGTATTTCCCCTTCATTCTCTTTTCTCTTCTCCTCTCTTCTCTTCTCTTCGCCCCTTTTCCCTGGAAAAAG